GTTAGAATCCAGTAACCTCATAATTAATTCCATTTGGCAAGGTCTTTTAATTGCTAATGATTATTCAGCTATTCAACAATTTCCAGCCTTTCATGGAATCCAGACCTTCATTGTCGCATTTAAAAGGGCCTTGAGTCACGAATCCAATTGTCTCCCTCCCACCCTATGCAGTTTAATATTATCCTCCAATTTGCGCGTAATTTTATAAGTCGTTTATTCCTCTTGGATTTTCAGACCAAGACGTTTTCGGTTCTCGTCTTTCCCATTCGTGCTACACGTCCCTCACATCACTTCCTCGATTGAGCACTCTAATAATTGGTACAGCTTATCACATTTAACTCCTCGTTAAGTAAATTTCTTCGGCCACATGTTACTTCCTCCCTCGTAGACCGCACTATTTTTATCAGCTTCCTGTTTTCAAATACCTTCGGTGTATGGTTACAATTAAATTTTCTGGTGAAATTTTAGATGACGTATAGTACGTAAACGCAATTGTCAAAACTACCGACAGATACAGGCTAGAAGTGGTCGGTTAATTCAGGATGGGTCTAAACCGAATTCCAACAAATTCCTTAAATGTACGCCGACATAAAGAAAAATGTGAGAAGACCAAAAAACGATGGAAGGACTGTTCTTAGAGTTGGAACAAACTGAATGGCCTAGGCCGCGATGATGATGATGCTCCAACGTACATTTAAGTTAGCACAGATTTTGCCAACGTTGGCTTTTGTTCAGATATCTGTAAGCTTATCAAGAGTGTGATAGACCCACGAAGAATGACATAAATAGGAAGTTATGCCTTCCCTCTTTCTGTTTCAGTGTAACTACAGTGTTCTCAGTCCAGTAGACATTATCTCAGTCAAATTGAGTCTTCTGTACGCCTCAGTCGTCAAATAGACCTTTCTCTTTGCGAGTTACTTTCTAAGCTGTAATATTTGAGGTTTTCACAGCAATTCATCTCCTTGATGACGGAGGCAGTATGACCTCTGAAACGTTGGTATACATCGACCAGACTACACAGCGCAACAACCCAGAAGACAGAAATCTTCATACTCACCGCTGTGTCGCCCTGATGACGGAGGCAGTATGACCTCTGAAACGTTGGTATACATCGACCAGACTACACAGCGCAACAACCCAGAAGACAGAAATCTTCATACTCACCGCTGTGTCGCCCTGATGACGGAGGCAGTATGACCTCTGAAACGTTGGTATACATCGACCAGACTACACAGCGCAACAACCCAGAAGACAGAAATCTTCATACTCACCGCTGTGTCGCCCTGATGACGGAGGCAGTATGACCTCTGAAACGTTGGTATACATCGACCAGACTACACAGCGCAACAACCCAGAAGACAGAAATCTTCATACTCACCGCTGTGTCGCCCTGATGACGGAGGCAGTATGACCTCTGAAACGTTGGTATACATCGACCAGACTACACAGCGCAACAACCCAGAAGACAGAAATCTTCATACTTTCTAAGCTGTTTTCGTTGCCTTTATCTTTTTATCTCTTATATATTTCTTTCTTCTTTCTTCCATGCTTTTGATATTTCCACGAAACTCATTTTCTTCTTTAATGATTCATAGTACAAATCAGGTTTTATTATGAAGATCCCTTATAATTGTCCTAAATTCCGACACATATTTCTTTACCAAAAATATACATAGCGTTTCTCATACATCACAGATTTTTGGATTACCGAGTTTTTGGACTTTTGTCCATCATCCGATATATAAAAATGTTTTGAGAACCGATGTCTTCGTCCTCTGGTGTAAGAGGGGGCACCTTTACTGTTGGTTCCGCTGAAAGAGCTAGAATTCTAGACGACTCATTAATCAAAATTGTAATACACCATCGTCAGAATGCTTCAGAATCGATCACAAATTTCTGTCCATTGTTAACAGTTGCATTCAGAATAAAGTTCAGTTATTTGTCAGACCTAATGCAACTGTTTCAAGCAGTAATTTATTTTTTATGCTAGTTCTTGCACTTCTAACCTTTTAAACTAGTTCACAACCAGAGTGATTGAAGTGTTCACTAATACGCACATTGTGGCTCGCCGTCGTCTTGATTTTATACTTGCGTTGAGCTCATGTGAACGGATTAAACGACTGATTGGCTGGCTGTGTTGTTCTTTCACACATGTGTAACACCGCAAATTCTGAGACGCGGGCGTCTTTGCGAATCTCATGTTTTTGTTATGGGGCAGGGACCCTACACAGAGGGAGTAAGAAGGGAGATGGGAAATTTGTTTCAAAGTTTTACCCACCGATGGTTATTACTTCATTGCTTTTCGTGTGGTAGAAAATAAATGCTCCTTTACGGAAACTCTTGGCGCTTGTAGTAAATGCAATTAAAGGAGCTTATCTTCACAGCATCATAGTCAACTTTTGTCAGGACGACTTTTTGTCTTATATCTTCTGCATCCCAGTGGAACAGGAAAGTGCACATACGTGAGATCTAAGGTTATCACGCCAAGGAATATGAAGGTGACGCCCTATGGTTTGCAGCATGTAATCTTCGTGATGATAGAAGAATACGTCGGTAAATATCTAGCGGACTGTAAGGTGAAATATCCGAGAAGTTATCTTTAAGAAAACGTAATCAGTGTTGATAACGCAGCTTTGCAGAGAAGACATGGATTTGTTGTTCTGGGTTGTGACGCCGTGTCGACTCGCGTGCAAGTTTCAATGTTTCGGAGATGCGTAGTCTCCATCTTAAGCCCTGAAGATGGAGACTTTGATTTCTTTTTCGGAAACTTTTGAATGTACCTTTGAATGAACACTGCATAACATCCCTAAAGAACATCGACATTTTCACTGCCGTGAGAACCTCATATCTACAGAAGATACGGAATTTAAAAAAATGTTAATGTTGTTGACGCACTTCAGAAATGTAAAATTATGGGTCATTAGGCTTAATTATGTTTGGGTCTAATGTTTTCAGAATCTTGTTCGTTGCGTTACATTAATCTTTGTATCTGTGCTGTTAATTACAGGACTCCCAAAACCAGAAATTTGTTGAAATATTAGATATTTTAAATGGAGTCAAAAGAAATTCATTTAGTGTAATGCATTGTCATACTTTACGGGCATATTCCACATAGGGTTTTAAAGTTAGTGTAATGCATTGTCATACTTTACGAGCATATTCCACATAAGGTTTTAAAACAAAATTACTTTGTGAGATTTAAGGTTCTCACGGCGTCCTGTCTTCTGGGTTCTTGCGATAAGTCGTCGCTCTGATGACGGAGGCGACTAGTACCTCAGAAGCGTCGGTAAACATTTACTGAACTACACTGAGCAACAACCCAGAAGATAGCTATCTTCTATGAAATTACTGTTTGCATCATCCATTGCTGTTTTTGAAGAGACATCATAAGCAGATTTAAGAGTAGCGCCAGGGGGCTATCCACTTAGGCTATCTATTCAGACGCGGTACATACATGCATCATAGAAGGCTTTCTTCTTGTGATCGATGCTGCTTTGAGCAAGTCTGCGATTAGCCACTCTTACGGGGATGCATGCATACTGACAAAGGCGTTAGATTCTAGGAAGTTGTTACTGCTGCATGCACACTTGAATGCCTATAAGCCCTTGAAACTACTAATTACTTCAGGCGACATTTACGTTTCTGGAAGTAAGCAGCTTAGTCCACATCGCCACAACGAACGTAGCGGTTGTTGGCTAGCGCTCCTGCTCAGATACTGTCTAATTTGACTTAGGTTGTCGTAGGTTTTCAAGGTATTTCCAGTCTGATGCTTGGATAGTGCCTTAAGTAGACCACTGCCGCTCCCTTAAATACGATTTCCAAATCATCATTCACCTTCGGGGTCTGCATTGACCGCGCGGTCTGAGGCGTGGGCCTTGTGCCGCTTGGTCGCTGGGACCGTGGGTTCGAAT